GCTCAGGGTCATACTATATATAAGTCTAGGGTAGTTTCTTTAAACTGAGGACTGATATCTTCTGAGCGGTCCCCAGGTGTGGACCGCTTTCTTTATGTCGGTCCTAGGTCAGGACCGCTTATCTCTCGTCGGTCCTTCTTATCGTCACGTGACCTGTACCATAGTTCTTCTGTCTCCAAGTGAGTCCCTGTTGTTCCTGTGATCCTGCAGTACAAATGTCTTATCCTAGCCGCCCGATGCCTAAGTGGGTCGGTCAACTGTTATCCATACATAACGGGTCGTAACAAGAAGCTTGCACAACTGAAACGCTAACGAGAGCGCAAAGAGCAGCAACAGCCACAATCACTCCTCCCACCAACACCCCCAACTGCACTTGAACCAGATATCGGAAATCTTGGGGCGACAGAAGCCTAAATCATCGGCTATACGTCAGGTATGCTTCTATCATATTTGTCTCTCTAGGTGTTGACTTACAGTAAACAGGCGATTTTCCCAACTTTCCTAGTTGCAACCTCAGCTTCAGTTTCTTTGAGAATCTCGACATGGCCGACATCACACACACTATAGGGTCCTTAATATCACCCTCTGAAATGGATGGTATCATAACAGCAACAACTGGATCCTTCTCTCCTAATAAGATCCAGCCACACTTGAAACTCTGGTCGCCTTATGCACCCCTACTTGGCCATCCTATGGAACACACCTCTCAGGAGGAGGCAAATCCTCTGCTTAAGGAACTTCCCATGTCCCCTAGCCTGGTTAGACGTGCAACAGGACAACTCCACCCAACAAGTTCTATTATAAGTGACAGGAACACAGGTGAGTGACTAATATCAAAGATATAAAGTAATTTGTAATAACAAATATTATCCAGTTGTTAATGAGGATAAAGAGATCAGTAAGAGCAGCAAAACCCACAAAAGCTGTAATACTGATAGCTCAGACGCTGATGAAATCGTTAACTCTGATGAAGATAATATTTATAGTGAGACCTGCACTGAAGAGTTGGCGGTTCTAGGACCCGAACTTATGGTTTAAGATTCATTGGGGATTCCCACATCACAGTTCCTCTCTGGAAGCAACTCCGCAACGCCCAACTCCATGGGAGCCCATCTTCCGCAACAAGCTCTACTCCCAGTCTCTCAATCGATGCCCCCCCCCCCCCCCCCTTGGACATAGTGGAAGGACCTGAACCAGACATTGTTGCACTTCCTAGTCCATCCTCACATCATGCCTCCGTCTCTCGGCAATGTAGTGATGCTGTCACTAGCTGGGGGAAACGAGGTTGTGGGGCTATTGAAGACGGCTGCGAGAGCCATGATGGTCGCTCGCCTAAACGAAGGAGGTCATGAGATTCTAACAACGCAACAGCATCAGCAGCTCTGCCAGCCAGGACTTTGCAGCTATTGCTATCTCAAGTCTTGTTAGACGAGCCAGGCAAGAGGGACCTTGTAACCCAACGCGAAAAACAGCTCCAGCGCTCACCCAGAACACAGCTACAGTCTTACGCAGCTGGCCCTATCAACTCGGTCCCCTGTGAAAATAACCACCTGCACCCTGATGGATTACCTGCGCTGAACGTGGATAATACCTCGAAGAGAGAGAAACGTATAGGAGCCTAGTGGGGGCGATTGCCAACCATACCTGAAGTTACTTCACTTTGCCCTAACCACTCTTTAGGCTAACCTGGCCCCTAAAGGCCTGGACGAGTTCCCCTCCCTCCTGTTGCCACCACAGCAGATTTATCCTCAGCTACATATCACACTTGTAGCTTTTCTGCAGAATATCTGCTGCAGATAAGTAACACTGTTAAGACTCTTATGAGGAGTAGCGCTAAGCTGTCTGACAGGGAACGAGGATTAGATATGCTTTAATTATTCCTCAGGTTCATCAGGAATTATGCCACAGAGAGGCTTACACGCAACGTAGTAGATATGGAATATAATGATTCTGTTGATGCGATAAATTGGAACTATATAGAGGGAGCAGCTAGTAGGCTTCTAAACGCTGAGACAGCTGAAAATGAAACATCAGATGACAACTCTGGAGATGATAGCGACAGCGAGAGCGACAGTGGCAGTTTTGGCTATAACGACAGTCCAGGCATCCCTATGGAGATGGTCAAAAAGCCTCTGCGCCGCCGGTGGACCCCGTTGGAAGAGGCGCGTCTCCGCGCGTGGGTTCAGGAGGGAAAGGAGTGGGCGTGGATGGCGAATAGGTTAGATCGAAGTGAACAGGCTTTGAGTCAACACTGGGCGATTATAGGAAAGCAGGATCGAAAGAGAGCAAAAATGTAAACAATCGTGGTCGTCAAGGTCCGCTTGCATTATACAATAACCACCTCTCCTTTCTCCATCATTCTATCTCCCTTGCTCCTCAATCTCGACTGTAGATGTTTATGGTAAGTGTTACAGACAGGGGTAGAGGAATCGCGAAGTCGCTGCTTTCCCCTCCGGGTTTTGCGGCTCCGCCCTTTCGGGCATGGCGCCCTTGCCGCTCTAACACAACGGCCGCGATTACATTTCTCGCGCAGGTGTCAGTCTTGGTGATTGGGGGCCTTGTCACGTCATGGGGCTGGAAAAACGAAGATGTTCCTCCTGCTTGGGCCTTTCCCCTGATGTCGCTTGGAACCGTACTTCTGTGCGGCGGAATGTTCTACTGCGCGTTCTTGGTGGAAAGCAGCACCGAGGAGAGAGTGTTGGTACAGTCACAACCATTTCCGGCTTTGTCCTCCAATTTGTCAGCCTGAGAGCAATGCACTCGGCTGTCTCTGTACTCTAGCTTGGAGCGATCCTGGTCGTTAGCATCATACGCGCAGGACTCAGGATACAACCCTTGCGCAGGGAAGGCAACCGCCTACACAATCACCCTGACGAAGTAGAGGGCCATAAATTAGACTGGCTAGTCTCGCAAATGGGTAATGGCAAACCTGACAAAGAGGGTCATTTTAGCGCTGCCGCTTGTTCCAACAAATCCAATCGACCCTCGATTTGACTAATTTGACCACTTTTCCCCTAGGATTAGTTACATTGAGTAATTGGCCAATCAACTAAGCCAAATGTAAGGGCACGTGACCCTTCTTGTCACTTTTATATTACCCAATTAGGAAATAAGTGAACCTATTGATAAGAATGTCACAATCCTGGTACAAATAATCCAACATTTCCCCCAACAGGCAGGATCTTCCCCTCCAGCCAATTCTTCGTCAGCTGTAACTAGCCCATAGTCTGAGGCTGTATTGAGTGCCATTGCGACGTCAGGGTCAGCTTTGTAGTACTGAAAGCCCTCTCGCAGTTAGCAGCCATGGCAGGGATGGAAAACACATCGAGGGCAAGTTCGCTCAGTATGGGATAGGTTGACTAGTGATTCTTCCACCACTTCACAGGGTCGTCTATAGGTTGAGGAGGCTACCAGAGGTAAGTCTCAAGTTCATCCTATTGTCGAGGAGCCTCGCAACCTCGCCTACTCTATACCCATTATCTGAAGTGACTATCTTCATGGGGGGGTAATATGATCTCTAGAGTAACTATAGCATCATCAGGAGCTTCCTCTAACCTATACTAATAGTCAAAGTAGTCCCTAAGCCCCTTCTTCGCATTGCAAACCCACTCAAGCTAGACTCCTTCATCCCAGACTGCCTCGAGGTAGGAGATACTAAGTGAGAGGTGAAGAATCATAGATGCAGGAAACAGAAGAGATTCCTCCAGCTTTATGTAATAGGAGGGGAGCTTCTGCCAAGCCAGCTCTATAGAGATATAGAGGTACTCCTAGTATATAGGAGAGAGGCCTCTAAATCAAGTGGTACGTTATCTCTAATCCTCCCTTATATGTTAGGGGAGGAAGGATAAGTAATAAGGTTAGTAATAACTGTTAACTGCTAGACGAACGGGGTGCCCTAACTGAGTCTGAGAAGGTTAGAAGTCTTCCTCAGAGGTCAAGTTAATCTCTAGAGAGACCTTTCGAGTGGGAGGGACAACAAGATGAATCACAAAGTTATATAGAGTCTTCCACTCTTCAAGGTACTTAAGGAGGTACTCCATACCAGTCATTACCTCCCAGGGACAACCATAACCATCTCCCTTACCCCAGCCCTCTGTTCTCTTAGTCTATAGATAAAAAGGTTTGAAGATAGCGCTAACCTCAGCGAAGACCTTCTAGTCCTCTAGGGAAAGGAGGTTATTATCAGGGATCATCCTTATAGTATCATCCTCATCCTGAACCTAATTGATATAGGTCTCGATTTCCGCCTTCTTTTAAAGAGCTTAATTAATTATAAGGTATATGGAATTCTACTTCATCTTATTATTAGAGAGGAGATAAGTCTCTTGAGAGCCCTGAGTGAAGAGCTTAAAGTCTAACCCAATATTAACCTTATAAGATGCTTTCTTAAATTACTTAGATTATTAGGGTAAAGCTCTGATAAACTTCATGATATTTTAAAGTTTACTAATAGGTCTAGCTTTCCTCTAGAGCCTGAGATTTTCCTCTTCGTAGTTGACAGTTTGGTAGAACTATGACTCAGCCTTAAAGATCTTATGATCTGCACTAAAAAGAAGGGCTTATGCTACCAGGTTAAGGATGTGGTCATAATATCTCATTCTCCTGGCTTAACAGTCGCTCTGAGTTATAGAGGGTTAGAGTCTCTTGAATAGGAAAGAGATACAGGTATCATTATTGCTGGTATTATCACATATAATAGTACCCACTTGGTTGGTGATTTCCCATTGTTGAAGAGTTTTGTAGAGGTTATTCGAGAGGTTGAGGCCACTATGGTCGCCACTTATATAGTTGAAGGTGATAAAGCGAGATTATTATTGATCGAGGTTGTTGAGGAAGTAGGTAGTGACTTTAAGGTAGGTACAGTTGTTGGGTGATGTCCATAGATCGAATCTAATATAGATTTTCGTTAGGGCATTATGAAGCTCAGCCTTGATATAGGTCTGACCCCTTGCGAAGAGGACAGGAAGATCGTCTATCATTGTAGTCCTACCCCGAGGTACTTAGTTGACTAGGGAGGAATCGTGGAATCTTAGGAGGTGTTGGACAAAATCGTCTTGGAAGTGGTAAAAAGAGAAGTTATTGGTGATGATAATCGAGAGGCAGAGATCCCTGATGGTACCGATCTTCGCCTTAGGTATACTGGAGACCTTCCTCCTCTTCCGACTAGGAGAGAGGTCCTCAGACCCATACAGAATCTCCTCTGTACTTGACTCGTCAGATGATAGGTCCCATTGTGTGACGTGGTGGCATCTATACGTATTAGTCATGGTCATTAACAGGAGAATATACATACCTGCGAGGGTGGTCTGCAGCGGAAGAAGCAGCAGCTGAGTAGAACTCTGGCCTCCCCTTCTCGTCACATCGTCGACAACACCAGAAGGTGGAAGTAGGTCCAGCGAGGCCCAGCTCAACGAGGAAGAATCCATGGTCCTTGATCCACGTCTTCCTAGGTCTGCCCCCTTTCCGAGCAATCTGCTCCTCTACAACATATCGCTTGTTATACCAGACAACTGTAGGAAGGTCGGTGATTGATGGGTTCGAGGGTAAAGGGGTGGAGAGACTCTCAGCAACCTGGGTGGCAACTTGAGGAGGGTGGTAAAGTTGTTGGAGAGCGTTGGTGGTTAGGGGGGTAGGAGATAACATCTATGAATGCCCTCGTCAGCCATGAGTATTCTGCTATCCCTGGAGTATTCAAGGAGAAGGGAGGTAACGTACTGGTGAGGCCATCATGATAAACGTAGGAAGACTTGATGATGTTGTGGATGTTGTGGATGTTGACTGCTGAGGAGGTATGAGGAGGAAGAAAAGGTGAGGTAGAGAGAGGGCCAGCCTGGCCCTTTTATACCCAAAATCGAGGTCTCCAGGAGTCACAGATCACTCAGAAGCATAGCCTGAAGAGGAAATTCATCAAGGGGAGCAAAAAGGAGTGTCGCGAAGCTGTAGGAATTAATGGTGCTGCATATAGAAAAAGCAAGCTGACACGCGATGGGCGTGAATATTCGCGATGGTGGCATCTCATTGGCTGTATGGCTGATTACTAAGAAATACAGTCAAATCAATCCAATCTATCAAATCGGACGGATCTAGGATTGGTTATTTGACTGTTGAAAATAGCTTCAATTGATTGCTTTATTTGGAAGTCGGTTTATTAGATTGGATTTAGCGGCAGCGCTGCGCCTGAGCAAGATATACCGTCTCTCACACCTCCGTTTCTGTGTGGCTATATGGCACACTGGAAGAATCGAACTGAGTGAGCCTGGGTCAAGGTTAACGTAAACCATTCTGCCAGAATGATTGCACTTATGCTGGATTATGCTGTGGATGAGATTGGGGGGTGAGATCGGGCTCACCTGTGGGTTCGGGGAAAGGCAAGCGCTGGTACTGAGGTGTTAAGGGACGAAGAGGAAACTGGAGGCGACTTCTTCGCAATTCAAAGCTGAGCACCTTAGAAGCATACCTGTGTTATATCTACCATTTTGAAAAGACGCAGCTATTCTTAATTAATCAGGTCAAGATAACAGTACTCAGCGGAGGCCCAGATGTTGCCGGTATATTTCGGCGCAAACACAGTAAGATGTTTTGTGATCGAATGTTCTGAGGTACCGCTCGTGATGCCAAGTAATTATATACATTAATGATAAAATTAGACTAACACTAAGGAAATTAATTAACTTGCATTATTAATAGGTAATTTTAATATTAGAAATGATTTTAGTTAAGCAGTTTCAGTAGGTCCCACCAGCCGGAGATAACAGTGTATAAAAAGGATGCTATGAAGCAGGTGGTGTGGTGGGGTGGAGGTCAAGGCAACGCAGTCGACGAAGGTTGAGCAATATAGATTTGCAGCAGTCGCACAACGGCCTCGTGCCCGCGCGCGGCGGCCCATAACAGCGGTGTCCGGCCATCTGAATCTTTGGTGTTGATATTAATGCCAACTTGGTCTGCCATTTCCAAAATGGCCCGCAACGCCCCTGCCACTCCATACCTTGACATAACGTGTACTAGACTAGTCCCTTCTGGTGGACAGTCATTAGAACTTCTCTCCAATATTCTATAAATACGCACCCATTGTTCCATAAGAGTGTTTGATGACTTTGCGAAATATTCCACAAGATCCCCTTGAGGGATACTTCTAGCATCACTTTGCTTCGTATGAGCCACCCACGAGGTTGTGGCGTAATGCAGGAATGGAAACTCGGATCGCAAGCGGTAAGAGTCGTCATTTACTGACTGACCGATCTCCTCCATCGCCAAGTAGCGTATGCAGATCCTAGAAAGCCGATGGTGTGCGATTCCGACTACAAAATCGGCTTTGGTGGACCCGTCTAGCGCCGATAGGCCCTTCTCAATGAAAAAGTCTTTGACGGACTGGTGGATGAATTGGGTAGTCTTTGTATCCGACGTGACCTCGGCAAGACCGCAGCTCAGCGTCTGAACTCGCCTCTTCATCCCGTTGTGGTCGGGTTGATAGTCCCCTGCGGCCTGGCATTCGTGTAATAACTGGTGTGGGCAATCGGGGTCGACAAGCATGGCCCATCGCAATTCGTCCAGCGACAAAGGCCGCGTAGCAAAGCAGATCCATTGGATGAGCTTCAGAGAGTCTGAGTTCATATTTTGGATGAGTTGGCCATATAAGGTATCGAGCTCTTGAGGGACCTGAAGGATGACGGCTTCAATTCGTTTCAATCCTGCACCCTCCAGCTCAAGGTCCAGAACTCTCCTTACCATAAGCCATGCCCATAAGAAAACGCCGGCGGCGCGTTTCGTAATTAAATCCGGAATTGTCGATGATAGTCGTTCGCGGAATGAAAAAAGCTCGTGTTGTACGAACGTTGTGACATCCTTCCAGTTCTCATCCTCTACGCATACTTCAAACACACCACCCAGGTCCAGAATAGGGTAATGACGACAAGTGAAGCAGATGCGAAACTCTTTTAAGCCACTAGACGGGAGCTTCTGGAGTAAGGATTTCAAAACCCTGACCAGCTTCACCGCGTTCTCTTTGCCACATTCGTCTAATGCGTCAATAAATAACCAGATTGGACGAGTCTCTAAGACTTTTGGAAGTGATGATTCGAAGAGTCGTGGCAGCTCGCGCGGATGCCACTGCCACTTTTCGCCCGGCTTGCCAACGGTTTCGCACCGTAGTCGGAAAGTGGCCACAAGGTCTTTATCTTTCAGTGCCTCAGAGGCATGGTGTAGGAGTTGGTGAAGGAGTGACCGGAAGAGGCCTAACGGTGTCTTTTGGAGTTCAGAACCACGACCGTGGAAGAAGAATGAGAGAATCAAGACTCCCTCTCCGCTTTTGAGTCTTTGTGTGACATCATTTAGAACGTGTCGCAGCAACATTGACTTCCCAGAGCCGGGCTTCCCTTTGATCCAGAGCAGGCCTCAATCACAAGTGGCCCAGCTCGTGTATGTTTTGTAGCAGAGCAGCCACTCGCATGTTCCCTGAGTAGCGGAGTCGATATCATTGGACCGATTGTCCATTTCTGAAAAAGCCAGCGATTTTAAGCAATCTCGTAACGGATCAAAAGGCTCCTTTGTGTCTAAATGATATGGTGAGTCAAGAATCTCTATACCGTCGAAAACGGCTGTTCTTACTAAAATAGAAAGTCCCAGATAAAGTAGCCCCAGGAAAGTGGTTGCCAGTGCCTGTACTCTTGTTCACAGTACCGCCATAAGTGTTGAGCATGTCGTTAGCGCCGTAACTGTTGAAGGAAGATGGCCCAGTGCGTTCTGTCTCCCCTTGCAACCCAGCAGTCCGAGGCTGCTTCTCCATTATCTAAGGTACGATATGTCGATTGAAGAAGGCTGAGGATGACGGAAAAATGGAGAGGTCGGAGTCGGACGACGAGGAGGAGCTGTAGTGGATCTTGGAAGGTCGTGAGCTCGAAGGCATATTGTTGATGTGAGTGTGTGTCGTTGTGTAGATGTTGTACGTGGGCAGTCAGTTGCCTTTGGTGAAGTTGAATGTTGGAGTAGCTTGGGGTTAAAGTCCAGAGTTGGGTGGGAAGTGAGGCCTTTGTAAGTGGTTGTGGGAAGGTTTGATGATAAGTAGAGAAGAGTAGCCTTGGGAGGATAAGAGAGCGTACACCCGGAGGGGGGTGGGCGTGCAGGGGAGGGGGAGGGTACTCTGAGAAGGAAAAAAGGAGTGAAAAAGCAGACGGGTGTGCTGGCTGCTCTGGCAGGGTGTGCGGTCCTTTTGGGGGGCGTGTGGGATCGAGCAAGACCAGACGGCGATGGCAGATGCGAAAATGTGCAAGACGCAAGACAGAGACGGACGGGGCTCTGGAAAGGTCGGCAGCAGCGGCCGCTCAGTCACCTCCGTGTCCGACTGTTTGTTTTTTGTGCAGTTTTTGTGCTTGGAGCAGCGAGTGGGTGGTGCAGCAGCAAGCAGCAAGCAGCAACGCCAGCCCAGCACGACAAGGATGCGTGGTCTCTCAGTCTCCAGCCCAGCCCAGCGTCAGTCAGAAGACAGGACAGGGAACCGGGGGTGCGTCGAAGAAGGAGAACGACGGGGATGCAACGTCAGGCACAAGACTCGAGAGACCCAAGCCCAGCCAAGCCGAGCGAAGGGGCGAAGATGCAGAGAGAGTGAGTGAGGAGAGGGGTGGCTTGTCCGGAAGGGGCGTCTGCCTTTCTGTGCGCGCTGCCTCTCTAGCGAGATGGTGTGGGTGGGGCAGCAGCGAACAGTCCAGCCCAGCAGGAGACGGTCGAGATGTGTGAGGGTAGCCCTATAGGGCACTACTTATAGCTACCTCACGCCCCTATATACCTAGACTTATACTTAACTAATATATCTATACTCATACTAGTCACTACTTATAACTAGTAGTATAACTTTTAATCTAGAGGCTGGAATTACTACCTTATGATGTTGAATTATGCATTATAAGATTATAAATCTCCCTTTATTTTTTATTATTACTATAACCTATAATTATTACCTATAATTAGATTTACTGTTATTGTGAAAATTACTCTTCTAATATATATAGATTACTAACGTATTATAACTAACTATCTTACTTTACTAATTTTTAACTAATTAGAAGTAAGCTTTACTTCTACCTTAATACTCTATATAATTGAAATCTGAGAAATTTAGATCTCTATAATCCTTATAACTATAACCTATTAATATTATAATCTCTTTATAATTTATAATAGATTATAATACTTACTCTATATAGATATTAATCTAAGATATTAGTCTTAAGAACTCCTTAATTTTATAGTAACTAATTACTCCTACCTTAAAATTCTTAATAATAGTAACTTACCTCTTATAGAGTATCTACTTAAAGAGATCCTATATGATCCTACTTCTATAATATATTTTAATAATAACTAATACCTTATTAATTAGGTTTAAAGTAAAAATATATTTTATAACTTTCTCTATACTTTTTGCTATTAAGTATAGTATTATAATTACTAATAGATTATAACTACTATTCTTACTGTAATTATAGTATCTTTTCCTATACTTTTCTAAGCTGCTTTTAGACTTAGTTCCCTTCCCTTATAATTCCCTTTCCTATATATTATTATACCTATAGCTAACTCTCCTATTATTACTACTTATAATAATAATATTAGGATTACTAACTTTAAGACTAATCTAAGTAACTTAAACTTTAGTAATTGTAGTAATCTCTTAAATATATAATCTTATTTAAACCTACTTAGTGCTTATTTCTATAATTCTTACTGTATTAGCT